TTGAAGATTTTCATATTTTCTATTATTTTTAAAAGATTCGTTAATTACGGAATTATTGAAAATAATTGTAACAGTAAAAAGAGCTAACTTACAAAATTTCTTTTCAAATATCTGAGTTTGACTTTAGAACTCGCTATTCTTTCATGCAGGCTCTGGAAAGCTAGTGCTGCTGCTGTAGGGTTTTTTATTCTAGCTTTTGCTGACTGTGCTTTCAAAAAATCCATGAATTTCTTCCAAAGAATTTGCTGTATTATCAATTTTAAGTGTGTTAATGTATTAAATAATTAGAAAATGAGTGATACTAAATACATTTTGATCTTCGTCATGAGGGACTCCTGTTGCTGCCTCTAAGAGCTCATGAAAGGTCTCATGAGACTCAGCGATTGTGGCAGCAAAATCAGCTTCTTGCACTTCAGCCAGATAGGTTGCTAGCTTTTCGAATAAAGATTCTGTATGTACATAATATGAAAGAAGTTTAGCTTTCGAATAAAGTCTCTGAACACAATTTGTAAGAAGTTTTAGCTTTTGAATTTTTTCTTTCAAATCTTTTGATAAACCCCTTCAGGAAATTCAAGCTGCAAGCAGCTTTATGCTCAACTTTCCTGAAGGAATACCAACAGTGCTTTATATTTAGCGAGCTTTTATCTCTATACATGCAGCAGCTATCATCTGTCGTTGCAGTTTGTGTTTTAAGAAAGATTCAGAAGCTGCTTGCTGCACTTGTTTGGAGTCATCTTCAGTCAGAGCGAAAGCAAAATTAATTGCTTCCGACTTTCCAGAAGAGATCCTGCAAGGCTCGCTTTAGCATACACCCTCTTCCCTCTTACACACACAACTATCGATACAGCCTGCTTGTATGTTCAGAAAGGTTCAGATGCTGCTTGCTGCACTTGTTTGAAGTCATCTTCGGTCAGAGCAAAAGCAAAATTAAATGCTTCTGACTTCCCAGAAGGGATCCTGCAAGACTCGCTTTAGCATACACCCTCTTCCCTCCTATACACACAACTATCGATACAGCCTGCTTGCATGTTCAGAAAGGTTCAGAAGCTGCTTGCTGCACTTGTTTGGAGTCATCTTCGGTCAGAGCGAAAGCAAAATTAACTGCTTCTGACTTCCCAGAAGGGATTCTGCAAGGCTCGCTTTAGCATACTCCCCCCCCACCCCTCTTACATACACAGCTATCGATACAGTGCAGTTTTGCTTTGCTGTGTAGTGTGGCTCCTTTTTAAGTCGGAAAGAGTATCTGCTTTGCTTCATTTGCTCGACTTTTAAAAAGAAATGCATTATGCACATACACAGCAGGCAAAAAATCCATACTTTCTAAAAACACAAACTCTAACCCAAAACAAACTCTCAACCAGTTTCACAACTCCAGAAAGCAGCCTACCTTGCTCCTTTGCTGCTGCTATTGCTTTCTCAGATGCTGCTTTTGCTGCTGCTTTGTTTCTTCTTCTTTTCTTTGAACCAAAAGATGCTGTGCTTTTGCATTGAAAAAAAACCAGCAAGATAAATTTACATATACAAACAATACCTCCATTGTCTCTCAAAAGCATTGTTGCTACCTGCTGTTTGATATAGCTATACATGCAGTAAAAAGCAATTAATTGTTAGAAATTACAAAAAAGAATTGTCGAAGCTAAAAAATTTTGCTTTCTTAATTTTACAAATTTGCTTGCCTGATCTTTCTGAGTCTGACATTTTTGAGTGTGA